ATCATAATACTTAATAATAATTGCTGGTCACTCACTGACATCTTTTTGCAAGCCCATGTCTATAATGCACTATAAACATACTTATATTACATTATAATCTGCTTATAAGCACTGTTTAATTACAGTTGAAAAGCATGCATACATCTTTGTGTGTCAGAAATGGCAGGATCTGTGACTGTTGGCTTGTAGATAACACTCATGGACATGTTTTACATCTTCAGGTCTAAACAGTCGCTGCGGTTACTTTTAAGTCGATGGGTGTCGCAGTTTGGATTGGAACTGCACGTCTGCAATTAGTGGTCTGAAACTGCAGTTCTGAACTGTAATATAACATTATTACAAACCTGAGATTTTCTCCTTCCATCAAAAGTTCATTCACGTTTGGATCAACAATGCTCCTACTTGTCAAGCTCTCTCATCTCACGTTCACTGCTCAGTCCTCTGGTTTGCTCAGCTCTGTCTGAGTGTATCCATTGTGTGTGTATGTGACATTCTTTTCTAAACCTCTTGTCTGTTTAAGTGAAGGTCCGCCTGCTTTAAAGCTTCATCTGAAAGGCTTCTTCAGACGTCGTACAATGCCCCCGTGTCTTTACGATGCAAAGACTGCAGTGTTTGGAGAAAAATAACAGTCGGCCTAGATAATGAATCGATGGCGTCACCTTTTTCTCAAACCAGCGTTGCATGGCATTGCTGACAATCGCAGCGTAGCCATGAACCAAGTATTGATTTGTGCATTTCTGAGCTACTTGACCATTGGCCCAGTTTTATGGATTCTATTGATTGTTTATTAGTCGCTCATAATGCTTTTTCCCTGCTGAATTTTGTCCGTGCTTACATGGAAGCAGACTTAATACGGTGTTTGATTTGTTTTAGAATAGTTTCTTCCTGATGCTTTGTTTACTGCTAGTTTATTATTATTCATTTAAGTTTTATACTTGTATAGTACCTGCTGCACAATGTATGTTATCCACTGCTGATTATTCAGATAAATCTTAGTCCTAATTTAAGCCGCAGTAGAAGGCTAAAGTAGCGTAGAAATAATCATATTAACTTGTGTAGATGATGAGCTTAACGTGCCCATTTTAACATGATGGATCTCTTAAACAATATTTGTATCTCTGCCTTGGCTACTAGGCCTAATTGTTTCCAGTTTTAGGTCCCTCTGCATCAATCCATTGACATTTAACTGGTCTGCCATTGAAATCACCAATTCTGGGACAAAGTGCACAAATGCTGACTGCAGATTTACTCTGGTTTTTATTGTCCTGACTGTGTTTAAAAAAAGACAGATTTATTAACGCGTGCATTTATATTGCATTTTATACACCCAAGGGGAAAAAAGTACAATTGAATCCTATACGTGTGACTTCTTATATATGTTTTCATGTCCCACAGGACACCTGCACACTGTCTGACATGCAGCCTAATCAAATGATCTCTTCTGTTATCTAGATCGGGGGCTGCAGCGGTCTGAATGTCTTCTGTGTACGAGAGAACAGGCTGACGAGGATACCGTCAGAGCTGTCGCAATCCACAGAACTGCATGTGCTAGACCTCTCTGGAAATAGGTACGTTCAGCAACACGTCCATATCCATATTTTCAAGTGATTTGTAGACTTTGTGATTAAATGGTAATGATAAAAAAACCAAATACTGAAATGTGATTTAATTATACTTAATAAATACTTGATGAAATACATGTTTTCTACTCTCTGATGCCCGAAGATTATCTGGATGTTTTGACCATTATTACTATAACCGTCTGTCAAAAGGTTGTCTTGGCTTTGTGTCTCCGCTACTACCAGTTTTGTCTTGTGAGCAAGCTGCAGCGATGTCTGCTGCATTAGTCGCACATAAACATGTTCGCCCTCTGTGACTGGAGGGTTTCCCCTCCTCCACGTTGTCAAAACAACTGCAAACCTGTAGTTACCTTTTGGTTTTCTAAGTTGGTGATTTACATCCGGTCTGCTTTCAGGCTCACCCACTTGCCGATGTCACTCACCACGCTACGACTGAAGGCCTTATGGCTGTCAGAAAACCAGTCGCAGCCTCTCCTCACCTTTCAGACTGACCAGGATCCCGACTCAGGGGAGAAGGTGCTCACCTGTGTGTTGCTGCCACAACAACCATGTGAACCAGACAATAAAGGTACTGTTTCACATCGAGCCGAATCCTAAAATAATCCTCAGAGGTTCTGAATACCCTTCATGGATCATCGGTATTATCAGAAGCAGGGACTGTATCTAGACATGTTTCTTTGCATATGCACTATTTGTTTGTAGATCAGTGTTCCTATCCTCCCTAAGTGTCGGGTTTCCTATAGAGTGAAATGACTTAGTGCCCCACGGTTTTGATGACATTATCGCATGATCATCTGCTCGGGGAAGCACAGTGTGTTCTGCGCCCTCTGATCCTTCCCTGCAGTATCTGTCGATTATGAGGTCCTGTAAGGGATAACAGCCTATGACAGATCAGTGCCTCTCCTGTCCCTTGAGGCCCTCCTTGGTTATGTTTTTCAGAAATGCGGTGGATTGGACATCTAAAGAGGCTTAGCAGAGGCTGGCCCATTGCCGTTAAAAGCTCGCCCACTGGGTAGATGCAGCTGAGGGCTAGCTCTATCTCTGCCCGATACAACGGTTTATTGTAATTCTTTTCCTTTGCTGTCATCCACAGACTTGTGCCTAAGTCAGGATTCACTGAAAAGTGTTTGCTCCTCGCTTGACCCTGTATTGTGCATTGTTTCTCCCTCAAAAATGAAAGTATTCAATACATTTCTTTTAACATAGTCAGACATTTTTGTGACGTGCCATCTCCTCTCGTGGTAGAGATGGAGACATAAGACTGGTGGAGGTCAGATGACCGAGGCTGAAGCTGAAGTTGGGGGCAGGGAAGATTGTGTTGCTGTAAGCCTATGACTAAGCCGGGATTTGAAACTGTGATCGGGCAGTTTCAGGCTCCTTCTTATGAGTGCTGGGTTATGTGACAGATTTCATTTCTTGAGTTGACCGTTTGCAGAGAAGCAATCATAACAACCATATTGATTTTAATGTGCTCACACATCCGCTTCAGATCGCACTCTTCAATTCTATCTGAGCATTTTGATGAGAGCATGCATTCCAGTAACACAACTTGTGTTGTCTCTTTTTAAAAACCAGGCTCTGATAATCTTGCCCGCTGTGGAGCCCTGGATAGTCTGGTGAATGAAGTGGCAGATGACAGTTGGGACAACAAAGCCGTGAACAGGATCAGCGCAATTCACTTTCTTGATGATGAGGAGGACGAGGATGACGAAAAGGTGAGACCAGCAAGCTCGCGGGCAAATCTCACAGTTATAATAGTGGTATTTCACTCTGATGTTAACCTGCTGGTGGTGCTAGAGGACATGTCAGAGGATCACCAAAGTCAAAGACGTACCACTAATTTTGAATCTCTTTCCGTCACACAGGGAACACTACTTCGACGGGCCACGCCTCACCCCGGTGAGCTGAAGACGATGAAGAAAGCGGCCGAGAACCTCCGCAACGACCTGAACGCTGCCAAAGGCCTGGACTCCAACAAAAACGAGGTCAATAACGCTGCAGACAGAGTGACCACATCTGTGTGACCTTTACCTCAGGAATGTTCTTTACCTCCTGTGTCTCGCCGTGTCGTCCCGCACAACCCCGCAGCCCCTTCTTTTCTTTTACCTACAAACCCGGTGTGGCCTACCCCTCCTCTGATTACACACTGGGACGCCTGTAACCTTACTCCATCTCCAGTCCTGTGTGAAACGCGTTTGACTCAGTCTACCACGGCCGCTGTGCCTTCCTCTTTTTAATTAATGTCCACAGTAATAATCTGCACAGAGATGCTCCATTTTAAGAAGATATTTTAAAGATTTATTACTTTTTTTAAATGCCTCTTTATTTTAAAAACATACATTAGGTAGTTGCACTATTATACGTCTTTATAATATGGTCAAAACCTCGTTAATGTATTATATATTTGTTCTATATCTATTTTCCAAAACACTGGTTGAATACGTTTTACATTTTGGGCAAACATAAAAGCAGGAGTTTTTGGAGCTACTGATTAAGGATTATTGTATAGTCTCTTGTGAATATTGATACTTTTATACTTTTTGGCAGCTCGGATGTAAATAAAATGTATAGCAAATTTCTTAATCAGTTGAAGATTTTTCAACTTATTTTTCTTCTCTTTTGAACTTGGTACTTTTGTCTTCAAGGAAAAAAAAAAAAAAAAATCAAAGAAATAAACAAAACACAGTCACTGATGTCTTATTCAATCCATATCATTGCTATTGGGTGAGTGGATGGCCTTGAATACGTTTTTGTTCATCGATAAAACATCTAGACCTATTTTGGGATAATAAATTGATTTGGTTCATTAAGTTTGGATTTAAGTACTGCACATCAACCTTTAATTACTCATCTGCAATGTAATTGTGCAGAAGTAACAATGTCCTCTTATTTATACGTGCTCTGCTTTACTGTTCTGCAATGTTTTTCAAATAGATGCCAAAAACAGTTGTATATTTTAAATAAATCAGTTTTCTTTCCCTTTAGAGTACTGTATAGAATAATCATCGGAGGTTTGGTCAGAATGAGGTTCGTACCACAAGGACGGCATCCTTCAAAACTGCAGTTGTTAGAAGTTCCACTTTAATGCACTTCTCAGCATTTCTTAAATTCTTTTAAATGGTACATGATAATTTGCATTATTTTTGTTTTTAAATTGATTGCAAAAAGTGGACCACAGAAATTGGTCCAAGTGTTGGTTTTTATGTTTTTAATTATTTTCTGATCAAACTGCACAAAACAGATCTCAAATGGGCACTGCGCCTTGAGATCTGAATGACCTTTTAACCACTGATCAATAAAAAGAGTGCAACACTAAACATGTTTCTTATTCCTTTTAATTTTATTGAGTTTAGAGTGAGAGACTCAATCTCAGAGAGATGAACTTAAAAAAACAGATACTTTTGGTGTGGCCTTTCTAATTATCCATATCTAAAAATAATATATTAAAACTTAAACTGACTTGCTTTGAGGCAACGAACCAGATATTCCACTTCCTGACCCCTCCATTGCTTGTTTTGTCTGCCCAGCAGTGCATGATATTTCTGTAATGCTCTGCCAGCATGTGCCATATTTGACTTGTTCACCCTGCACATGCTGCATGTTGTATTGACGCTGGCATGCTTTAAGTATATCAGAGAATTGATGTATATATGTATATTTTAATGTTCACGGCAAGTGCACCTTTATTTGAATCTCATTGTACATTTTTGATTAATTGCGTGAAGATGAGTACTATTTTCCCAGTGAATTACCTGTTGAGTCAAAAACATAAAAAAACAACGGGTAATTCACTGGAAAGTCTGTGTTAGTGGTGTTAGTGGTGTTACTGGTGTTCAGTTTCAGGTGCTGAACTGTTTGTAATAAGAAATGTAGTGAAGCTTAGGATGGACTCCCACTATTCTCAAGTGGAGGCTTCTTCAGTGAGACGACAATGCATTTCAAGCATGGCATCAACCTTCACTCTCTTTCTTTGCCTTCTGCTCAAGATGCATCAGAAAACAAATTTTGGCAATAAGGCAGAGAAAGAGACAAACAAATGAGATCTTTCCACCCTGACTGCTCTCGCTTTATAAAACGATTGCACCAGTGAGCATAGTGCAATTACACTTTGCAGTAATCACTGTTTTGGTGCCCCCTGGTGCACGACATAAGCATGAATTATGAATAGTAGAACAGGATTTTATTAATGTGGCTTAACTACATTGATTATCAGCTGTTCCACTGGAAAGCATGATATTCCTCCAAGGATTGGCATTGTGCTGCTCTTAGTTTAAGTCCTGCCTTGACAAACGGCCATGCATTCAAGATGAGGGACATGGTTTCATCAAACTTCTTCCCCACTGATCCATCACTGTCGCTACTTATTTCCCTCAAGATTTTACTTAAAAATTAAACTTTCAGCATCGGCTGGTGTCTTCTGACTATCTCCAGGAGTGTAGAAAGCCTCATATTAACCCGTCCCTCAGGACCAGCAGCCAAAACGTGGCCATTCCAGGCTTCAGCTGGTTGGCAAACAAAGAGTGTCAGCAGGCAAGACCTCAACTGTTCCCGGCCGGTGACAGTGTGTGTGGCCACATAAACACTGACATGACCAGCGCAGAGAAGGAAGCAGAGGGAATTGAGCAACCCGAGGAGGTCTGTTTTCAAGTTTAGGTATCTTACACAGTTCATGTTGTTTATCTTGATTTCTCTTGATGTGGGGATGCACATTTTTTATCAGCCACGTCTTCCACTGCAGCTGTTCATCAACTGTAATTCTGCTGCAGATTTCCCACTTAATCTAGATGAATTATTATTACATGTCAACCCTTTCTGAGAAGATGCTTGTTTAACTACTTGTTTCATCCTTTTATCAGTCTGTCATTTTGCTAATGGCTTGTGAGTGAATTTAAATATCGGCCTCCACGGATGCATCTCGCAGACTGACGAGGACAAAAGCGTTGAATTATTTCTAATCACCAGGATGGTGCAGGCCAGCTGCCGGAGAGCGATGCCTCACCGCGACGGTTTCGCCATCAGAGAGGTGAAAACAAAGAGGGAAGGAAGTTACAGCGTCACAGAGCTCTTAATGCGGGGACCGGTCTACATGGAGACCCTGCCACCAACGTAAAGATCTCCCCCACAACCGGGCATCTGAAGCATTTGGTGACAGAGCGGACCCCTCCTCAGGAATCATTCGTCTCCCATGTGCCATTAAGAGTAACTGAACGCCGTCTCTTTCTTTAATGTCTAATCATTCTCTGTGAGGTTGCACTAGATGCTGCTGGAAATTGATTGATTGTGGCAAAGTATTATTATTGCAAATCTAATTTTTTTTTTGTTTGTGTTGCTCCACTCAGGCTTAAGTTTTAAATATATTTATTAGTTACAGATCAAAGTGTCTGGCCAGAGTGGTAGTTTGGGAATCAGCATTGCTGGTGGGAGGGGCTCTCTGCCTTACAATGACCATGATGAGGTAAGTGCTGGTGCAGAAGAGCCGGCAGGGCTCAATCCCTTGCAACATGTTTGCCTGTTTTGTTAAAGATAATGAGAAGCAGCAGCCTTGAGCAACTGAAGTACACATTCTACTTTACCAACAGGGAGTGCTTTGAGCACAATGTTATTACACGTGTCCCTCAGGCTAACATGTCTATTTCCTTTCAGGGCATTTATATTTCCAGAGTAAATGGAGGGGGGGCATCAGAAAAGGCAGGGGTCCATGTTGGAGATAGATTGCTGGAGGTAGGCTGGGAGTGATTTTTCTCTGTTCATAATCTCCTGTTCACTAACTGTTAAATATTCAACCCAGCGTGTGAAATGTTGTTGACTGAATGGAAATCACTAAGCACTTTAAATTGGCTGCAAGAATGTCATTATGAAACCTACTTCCTGCTGATGTTCCTCTTGTGACCAATGGAGGGCAGCACAAGACCAGCAGAGGACACTCTGCTGGGACTCCCCTCACGAATTAAGCCAATATGAGGCAGCAGCCAAATTGAAAACAAGTGAATCAAAATGCAAAATCAATCTTTAGAGTCACACTTTGGTAGGTTAGCCGATTTAGAGTCTGTAGTGGTAATAAACATGCTATTTTCAGACAACTAAGAGTGTGACTTAGCCCCGCATCTCTGACTCCTGACCCCTGAAAGTGTAATGTGACCATGGTGCTTCCAGGTCAATGGCCTCAATATGCAGGCAGCGACCCACCATGAGGCAGTCAGCGCCCTCAGGAATGCTGGGAGCTGCATTAAGATGAAAGTACTCAGAGAAAAGCTGCTACCCCGAAAGGTGTGTGACCCAGATGAGCCTCAGGATCCTCGGGAAGTGACGCAGCGACAGCCATGCAGGCAGGACGGCGGAGGCCAGAGAGACAAACAGCCCAAGATGGAGAGCACAGAGGACCGTTTGTCCAAGGAGATTGAGGCAGTTGTCTGCAACGGCAATGGCATTGTGGGTGGTTTGCTCAAATCACAGCACAAATGGAATAACATTTTTCAAATGTCACTATTGTTTTACGATGTGCCTCAAGCCATATGTGGATTACACCCTCAAAATAAGTCTTTCTTTTACACTTCTTTGTCTTTTGGCGTTTCAGTCTGATTTGGGGAGCCAGTTGAACAGGACCTTCTTTAAGATGAAGGTGCAGGCCTTGATGAGAAATGATTCACTTCAAGGGGGGAAGCACACAATGACAGTAAGCAGATTTCATCCCTCAGTAGCATATACCACCTACGATATCATTTTACACTGAAATCAATTCATTTTAGCAATCCCCGAGACCTCCAAAATCCAAAGAATCCTGCAAAGATAAACATTAGAGATTTTCATGACATGATTATTCTGACATTTCAGCATGTAAGGACATTGTATCACATGAAAACGTACTTATTTTCCTTCCCACTCCTGTTCCCTTCTGTGGCAATCATCTGACAGATCCCGCGGATCATCCTCACTCATCCCTCTACCTCAGATGAAGATGTGGAGCTCTTGACACAGATCCCCAGCAGAGAGGCGCTACATGAGTCTGACATTCCTGACAGACACGTAAACTGTTTCGACAGCGCTTTCTACCCACCTTGACCACAGCGTAGAGGTACATACATGAAGGACACAGACTGTTATTCCCCAGCTCTTTTCTTTTTCCTTCATGTTACTCTGGTGGATTAGTGTAAAACAACCTTTTATGCTTTTTGTCTTCATGAATCAATTGCTGCTAATAGTATTTAGTAAGATTGAATCCATTTGCAATAATGGCCTTTATTTTTATTACTAAAACCAGAGTTTTGCCTGTGCAACTACATAGAACAGAGACTGTAAAGCATGAACTGACTGCTCTCTAATGTCCAAATGAATTCATAATAATATATAGAGTCAATTTAACTATGGACACTGCTGGCTACCTCCACTTCACACCGTTGTGCTAAATAGTGTCTCCGCCAATGACAATGTGACGCCCTTAAACTTTTTATTGTCTTCACCAAGATAAAACGCTCCATGGCTGAACAGAGTCCACAGGAAATGTGCGTACTGCAGAGTCCTGATTAAGACTGAACACACCTTCTGTATGAGCAAAATTGTGAATTGTGAATTGCTCTGTTTTCTGAAAACATTTTGATTGTCAATATCTGCCTTGTATTATTTTACACTTTTACATTCTCACAGTCACAACAGTTGAGTGTTCATTGTTCACTTTCTCAATAAAGTGCACAAATATTGTTCCAAGAGGTTTGTCTTTTTTCTTTGAGCTGTAGAACAAACAAACCCATGCATGCTGACCTTTATACTGGCATGAACACCTGCATAGTGTTCAGCAATTCAGTAAAAGAGCTCTGCAAACACACGCACTTTGATTAGTTTCTGTTTTGTCAGAAAGGTGATAGTTTAGATATTTTGAGGTTGTAATTTGCTGTGGTGTCGGGCTGGATTGCCTCATTTTGCACAAGTGTTGCTGTTTGTTGTGTACACCTACTGTACGTTTGCTGTTGGCCACATACACACTGACATGACTAGGACTTGTTTCATCAGTGATGCTCTCCAGTGATGACTGGAGACCTGGGTGATAATAATCTGGGGACACAACTTGTTGAAAAGTGCATCCAGTGTGCGAGATTCCATCCAGAGTCAATTACTGGCTGGTCCTGCTCATATTGTGATAAAGTCTTCGTCTCAAGAGGCCTTCATGGATCCATCTGAGGACGAGCGCGGATTTGTATTACAGTCATATAACTGGGATGGGACCATTGGTTTTGTAAGAGAATTGAACCATGTAACATACATGCTAAAATGTTTATTCCATATTGATTCATAAGAAATTTTGAGTCAATTTATTGATTGTAAATGATGACAGTTTAATAGTTTTAGTGTTGTAAATGTGTCAGAGTCACATACGTTTTGACAACTCGATAACTTAAAGCAACACTATGCAACTTTAGAAGAAGCTATAACAGTGTAAGTTGTAAGTTGAATTTGTAAGAAAAAAAACCAACAGACAGACAAACATCCTCTTGCTCAGCTTAACATACTCGGTGGTTTTAGATGAACCCACAGCCTTTCTTGATCTGGTATGATCAGTAGCTTCTGATACATATATTCTGATGCATTTAAAGAGTTCTTTCAACCACAAAAAGTGTATGGAATAAATGGACAACTAGTTTACTAATACAGTAGTAACCCGCCAAGGAGCACCTCATTAACTAAATATTGTATTTTTGTTTGTGAGGTTATGTGAAAAAAGTGTTTAATGACAAATGCAAAACACATCACTTACTCCTCAAACCTTTTCTCTTATATTGTTAAATCCGAAAACATCATGACAGCAGCATTTCCAATTAACTCATGGAGTATATATTAGACTAGTTAGCCAGCTAGGTAGTGTTGAGAACATCTGCCAGAGACATGTATCATTTCAGGCAGCAACATTGAGTTGCTGGCTATAAATGACAATGGTCGCAGCTTTACTTGGTCTTGTATGACAAGCAGTCCATGATGGCTATAATGTATAAAATTGAAGTTGCCAATATGACCGATGACTATGAGCCGGGACGTCCCCCATACAGTATTAGGCTAAATTGTTTCGTTCCATAGGGGATTTCCTCATCAAGTGTGTTATTTGCCGCTCACGTCACAGGTGAGATCCCCTGTCATCCAAAACACCGGCCCACTTTGCGCATCGTTGAGTAAATGCGCCAATTCCTGCAACAAAAAACAAAACGTTTTGAAAATGTCAGTTGTGCAGTCTTTATTAACCTGCCATCAAACAGCACCATTAATTACATTTATATAGTCAGACGTATAGTTTGCATGTTACTTTTTTTTTTATAAGCTATAGCTATAAGTAAGAGAAAAAGAGAGACAGGGACTGAATATAGTCAGCGTTTCCCATTAATCACCAAGACTCTAGCAGCCCCGCCAACATCTATTTCTTTCTGCAACAGTTGCATAATGAACTGAAAATATTTTTGCACTTCTCAGCGGGTGGGCTCGCTGGCCCTCTACTTATTTCCTCTGCAGTGGTCGGCTCTTGTTCGGCTGTGAAAGCGGCTCGTGGCTCAGTCCTTGTCAGCTTTACAGCACCCATCCCCTACGCCCCTTCGCTGCTGCTCAGGGGCGTGAACTTGGTGCTTGCTGTGCCTTCTCTCCCTGCGGCGAGACCCCCCAGCTCCTTGCCCTACTGTTTACCGGTGTAGACTGTCCTCTGTGCTCCATCTGCGGCTATGTTGGGAATCTACCAGACCTGGATTGACCTGAAGTAAAAGTACAAAGTATTGTCATCGGTACTTGAAGCTACTGTGAGGAGCTTTTAACTGGTTACAAAACGGTCTCAATTTAGAACCGATGCCTTTATATGAACTTTATGAGTGAACAAGACCATAAGCAAGAAGATTATTTCTATATAATTCATTTTCTAATGCTTGTTATTAGTGCCACGGGGTCGGATTCTGCGCGAAATCAGATGAATTGATGCAGGTTTACCAGGAGCTCCTTCAGCTCAGACTCCAGCGGGGCTTCCGGCAGCAACCAGCCCGCCGCAGTGAGGAGGGAAGGGAGGAAGAGGAGACCCAGGACTGAGCACAGCAGACTGGCAGACCCTGCTGCAGTAAAATAAGAGGTTTTCTAATGGGACAGGGAAACACTACCAATTTGGTCCACTGGGACTGCCAATATCAACACAAAAATAAAGGTTCTATGTAGCAGCTTCAATCCAACATAGTCTCACAAAATCCTGTGGAAAACTGATAAAGCAAAATGTAACAGGTGTTGCATAATTAAATTTTATCTTATATTATCGTGGACATGTGAGGACAATTATTTAGTGGCCAACCATATCGTTTTGAATGTCAGTCTCGTCATATTGCCCAACCCAAGGTCACTTTTCACAAACTTGTATTTAATTTGTTTTATTTCTCTATGTGGGGGTTTCTTTTAATAGGTGACATTTACCTCATTACATTTTGATAAATACTGCACATTTGGACTCTAGCAGTTAAACCAAACAATTCAGTATTAAGCTTAAACTCATTAAAACAGTAGATTGCCAAGAGGCTTATCTCTGCTGGTGTGAACTAATTGCTAAATATAGTATTCCAGTATCGAAAAATGTCCTTGGAGCTAAACGTATTAGCTTTTAGCTCCAAAGTGTCACATGTTACATGCCAGAAAGCAAAGCCAACTGATACTGGATATTAATCGGGGGGGGGGGGGGGGCTATAATTTAAGGCTATAATTTAATATTTGCTGCTATCAAAGGCGTTTACATATTTACATTTCAGGCACTTGTCAGATGCTTTTCATCACGAGCCCCTCACAATACTAACTCATAAAACTCCAGGGAGTTTACAACACCAGAGGTAAACTAGAGAGGACCAGGCGCCGGTGTAGGTGTAAAGCTTAGTCGTATTGTAATTTCTTTCTGCGTGCGGCTGCCACAGTGAGACAGAGGCACAGGAGACAGCAGGGTGGAAATAGACAAGAACAGCTGTGACAGGAATGAAGAATGTAGTGTACTTAAAGGATTAGCATCCACTCCAGAGGTCTGCTTTCACTCACTGATAAGGGAGCAGAGAAGTCGATGCAGATTCAAACAAGCAAGAAAATGAATTTGTTTCAAGCACCCCGATAAGTCATTATTAGAAACATGCTGAGATATATTTGTCACGTCAGTCTGTTGGCTGGCAGAGGTTCATGGTATCTGGAGTCTGAATGAACAGCTTATATTGCTCATGAATTCAAAAATAATGTTCTTTATTAATAAATCAGACATGCTTGTTTCATGAATGTTTGATATGATGTTATGATGTATGGCAACACATATTTTCTTTGAAGGTTTTTCTCATTTCCCGATCAATGCAATCACCTCCACCTCTCTTATTTATGATCTGAGCTCAGTCAGCCAAGATATATGTCATGTTTTCAGCCATATGTCAGTCACTTTGTAGCAGTATATAATATATGAAGGCCCCTTGCCTTGGAGGAATACACAACTTTTGTAATGTTCAGGGATCGGAGACTAAAAGTGTTACAATCGAACAATAAATCTTTCCATGGAACCAGAGCTGTGTTTGTTTGTAGCTCTAAGTGTAGACATTTCTTCTGGTGCCCAGCAGGCTGACTGCTGTCTGCAAGCTATTTGTGGCTATTATGTGTCTATAAAAGGAAATCTGCAGGGCGCTACACACACCAACACTAATACACTTTGAACTTTGTGAGTCGGGCTGAAAAGTGTGCGTCTTGCTTTCCGTATGTGCTTTGATCATCATCTTAAGTCTTGAGATATTTCCTGAATCGTGGATGCACAACACTTCTGGATGGAGAGGCATTTGAAGCAGAAATGGACAGTTTGAATAACAGTGAGGGGAAGGTAAGAGGGTTTGGAAATACATGTATTTCTTTTGAAAATGTGCACCAGATAAAAAGCCTGTGAGGCTGAAGTAATATAACCGTCCTTTCTTTCCGATTCCTGAGCTTTGTAGTTACAATGGTTCTGGCTTTAAAGTTGTTAGATGAATTTTACCTCAAAGCTAAATCCTACTGGAAAACGAAACCAGCTAAATAATTTGGTTTTAATCCATCAGCACTATTAGCCCCCCATTGCGCCCTCTACCACCCGCTGCCACCTTCCAGGCTTTCACACATAAACATATAGACGCAGTATTCAGATGCTGCTATTTGATCCTCTTATTTCCTGTAGGATAAATAACAGTTGCCAAACTGCTTTCGGGTGAATTTAAAAGAACAGAAAAGTCACAAGAATGATTGTAAATTAATCTTATCAGTGTTAATATGTTGTTTAATCACACTGGTATTTTCTCCCTTAATATGCTGCTTTTGAAAATGACGTGCATTGTTGTTGTAGTTCTTGTCCTTGTGTGTGTGACTGGGAATGAAAGCATTTGTTTATAATCTGAGGGAGATAACCCAATGTGCTCAGTAGCAGCTGGCAGTGGGCTATATTTGCACGCCCTATCTACTCTGGAGGGAGGGGTAGTGTGTTTGCCTGTAATTGAACTCTTTACTTAGTGACACACCCAACTGTTTATGCTTTTACTGTGGCACACCGTGAACCGCTCAGATATGTATTTTAACATAAGTGGAGCACAGCGGTTTTTGATTTAAATCAGCAATTATGTCCTCCTTTAAAAAGGAATAGCTTACATGCTCAATGTGGCACTGAACTTAGCATCATTAAGGGCAAACAAATTAGTGAATATGAAATTGTAGAGCACTGCTTAAAGTTGGACTTATGTTAGGAAGCATTGGAGAAGGAATAACATCCTTTGCATTCATTTACTAGTATGTTTCCTTTACGTATATTTGTCACTTTCTGGTTGCTAACTGTTTATGGATGTCTGTTTTTCTAAAGGTCCCCACATTGGGTGGTCTGCTTCAAAAAAATGATTTAGTGTTGCTTGTATTCGCTCTTTGGGACGCGTCAGACATGCCACATGAAATAACTGTGTGAGTGAGAGCACAGTGAGGTGACATGTAGCCCGTGTGAGCCAGTGGTGGTTGGAAATGTGATCTGTGAGGACGGCATGACCCCAGCAACACTCAACGCAATCAACATTTAAGAGGGCTCTGATGGGCAAGGAGGAAATGCTGGCTTTGACCTTTCACAGTGTAAATTTACTCTGCTTTGACTACAGAGGACATGCAAACAAGGAGGTTGCATAAGAGCATGAAAACATAAATAAGTTTATAAGATGGCACATGATTAGTTTAGCTGAGGCATTTGTTCTCTTTATTTATTTATAGCTGATGTTAGATACCTTGGCCCTCAGACGTGTAAACGAACCTGCTCAAGCTCATGAACTAGGTGTCATGACAAGAACATGGGTGGCATGGTGTTAAGGAAAGTGGTAGAAGAAGTACTCGTCAGTCATATGACAATGTACAAATACTCCATTACAAGTAAATATTAAAAATAAAAATACTCATTGTACAGGCAGAATGACCCATTTCGGTATTAAATGATTATTATATAAGGCTGCAAATGGTAAATATGGTGCAAATTCCAACTATTTCACATGCTATTGAGTATTTAAATCTATATCTATTATGTTTGTTTTTTAAACTCATCATAAATATTATCTGGTTAAGTAAAGTGTGTGTGTGTGTATGTGTATGTATATATATATATATATATATATATATATATATATATATATATATATATATATATATA